GAGGGGTATGGCTAATACCAGCGTGTACCGACCCCACCGTCAGAGTGAGGGTTTTCAATGGGCAAAACCTTGCTGGTGTATAATGTAAATCTCAGACAGCTGGAAAATTACAAAAAGAAATTCACTAAGACAGAACGGAACATCTCTGAAGAACATGAAAAAAGTGCTGAATGCAAAAAGCAGATTTTTCAAGCAGAACGTGTGTGGAAGAAATATTCCAGAATCCAGTGTTTTTTGTGCAAAAGTATTGTATCTTCCAAACAGGTGTGAGTCATAAAAGAGCTACATGCTTTGGGAAAAGACTTAAGAGGTTTTTCTTTTTCAAATAGATTGGAAAACATGCTGAAGGAGTTAAGACGAAAATATCATGTCCATGGACTTCAGCAACCTTTATCAAAATGACGGCAAGCTCTCCGAGGTGGAGAAGGTTCAAACAGGCATGCACATGGACTGCAGGCCTAATTACTGACAGGCTGATGTGTCAAGATCCTGGAGACTATGAGAGCGCCATGATTTTACTGCGTTCAGAATTTGCTTTATTCCTGGGGCGCCTGGGTGGCTCAGTCAGTTAAGTGGCCCACTCTTGATTTTGGCTCAGGTCATGATCTCAGGGTCCTGGGTTCGAGCCTCCCATCAGGCTCTGGGCTCAGTGGGGGGTCTGCTTGAGATTCTTCCTCTCTCTCTCCCTGTGCTCCTCTCCCCACTCATGCACACTCACTCTCTAAAATAAATAAATCTGTTTTTTAAACTTTATTTTCTCAGTGTTTCAGAGTTCATTGTTTATGTACCACACCCAGTGCTCCATGCAATCCGTGCCCTCCACAATACCCACCACCAGGCTCACCCAACCATCCCCCCTCCAAAACCCTCAGTTTGTTCCTCAGAGTCCACAGTCTCTCATGCTTCATCTCCCCCTCCGATTTCCCTCAACTCCGTTCCCCTCTCCTTCTCCCCATGTCCTCCGTGTTACTCCTTATGCTCCACAATTAAGTGAAACCGTATGATAATTGACTCTCTCTGCTTGACTTACTTCACTCAGCATAATCTCCTCCAGTCCCGTCCATGTTGATACAAAAGTTGGGGATTCATCCTACTATGGAGTATTATGGAGGCATCATACTCCAAAGTATACATGGACCACGTCTTCCTTATCCATTCATCCGTTGAAGGGCGTCTTGGTTCTTTCCACAGTTTGGCGACCGTGGCCATTGCTGCTATGAACCTTGGGGTACAGATGGCCCCTCTTTTCACTACATCTGTATCTTTGGGGTAAATATCCAGTAGTGCAATTGCAGGGTCATAGGGAAGCTCTATTTTTAATTTCTTAAGGAATCTCCACACTGTTTTCCAAAGTGGCTGCACCAACTTGCATTCCCACCAACAGTGTAAGAGAGTTCCCCTTTCTCCACATCCTCTCCAACACACATTGCTTCCTGTCTTGTTAATTTTGGCCATTCTAACTGGTATAAGGTGGGATCTTAGGGTGGTTTTGATTTGAATCTCCCTGATGGCTAAAGATGATGAACATTTTTTCATGTGTCTGTTAGCCATAAAATAAATAAATTTTTTTTTTTTTTTTTTTTTTTTTTTTTGCTTTGCTCCTGGATAGTGTCTCTGCAGAAAAACACTTACCTTTGAAATATTGACATTTTTTTCTAGTCATGTTTTTTTGGGGAAAAAAAAAAAAGAAAACAGACAATGGTTTCAGTAATGATTTGATTTTACTAAAAAAAAATTTTTTTAGACCGCCTGGATGGCGCAGTTGCTTGAGCATCAGACTCGTTGTTTCGGCTCAGGTACGTTGGGCTCTGGGCTCAGTGGGCAGTCTGCTTGAGATTCTCTCCCTCTCTCTCTGCCTCTATCCCCAGCTTGTGTGCTCTCTCTCTAAAATAAACCTTTTTCAAAAATGCTTTTTTTCTTCTGGGGTGCCTGGCTGACTCAGCCAGTAGAGCCTGCAATTCTTGATATTGGGGCCATGAGTTCAAGCCCCACGTTGGGTGCAGAGATTACTTAAAAAAACACTTTTTTTCCTTAAACTTTAAACATAGGAATCACCACTGAAAAATGTTTAATGAAATGATTTTAAGCAGGGTATATCTGTACTCATTAATATTGTAGGTAGGTTTTTAGCTGGTAAAGTTAATGTGTTTTTAAAAATAAGCTGAAGGGGCCCCTGGGTAGCTCAGTTGGTGAAGCTTCTGCCTTCGGCTCAGGTCATGATCCCAGAGTCCTGGGATCAAGCCCTGCATCGGGCTCCCTGCTCAGCGGGAAGCCTGCTTCTCCCTCTGGCGCTTGCCCTGCTTGTGCTCTCTTGCTCTCGCTCTATCGCAAATAAATAAATAAATAATCTTTATAAAAATAAATAAAATAATAAGCTGAAGATTATGAGAAGGGGGAGTTTCTAGCATGCCCATAAAACAATAAATCAATTTTTAAAAACTGTCACTTAAATTTTGAAAATGAGATCCATGAATAGGTCTCAAGAGATCTGTGAACAGGTACAAAATTTTTTGTGTGTGGGAATTATACTGTGGAGAATTTCCACGAGGTTAAGAAACACTGGTGTTAAAAGTAATTAGACACAGAGTAAATAAATATACTTTAATTTCAACATATAACATTTGATAAATGTAGTTGTTAACTCTATTATTGATATATTCTTCTCTCTACTATTTTGTTCTTTAGGAAAATCATCTTACTATAATGAATTTTATTGATAAAGAGTTGTTTGAGGTAAAGAGTATGTGATACTTGTCCTGAATAGTTTTTTTTTTAATCTTAAAATAATCCTGATAGACACATGTCAAAGGCCACATGTCCCTGTGGCTCCATTGCCGAAGATGGGACAGTTTGATCATAAAGGGAATAATAAGGCACTTGAGGGAAACACTTTGAATATGTAGATGCCCACAAGTTACTATTAAAAACATTGATGAGACAATTAGGGAAATCTGAGTATTGACTACATATTTGATTGCATTAGGAAATTATTCACTTTTCTTGATGTGATGATGACAGTGTGGTTAAGAAAAAGGAGTCCTTGGGAGCCTGGGTGCCTCAGTTGGTTAAGTGTCGGCCTTCGGCTGAGGTCACAATCCCAGAGTTCCCGGGGTCGAGTCCCATATCGGGCCCCCTGCTCCGTGGGGTGTCTGCTTCTCCCTCTGCCCTTCACCCTGCTCATGAAAAAGAGAAGGAGTCCTTATCTTTTAGAGATGTGTACTGAAGTATTGAGGAACACAGTAATACACTGCCAGGGATTTATTACAAAGTGATCCAAGGCTGGGGTTGGTGAGAGTCAGTGAGGATAGGGGTGAAACACTAGTGGCCCATAATGAAGATTCTTGAAGTTGACATAATCGGCTGTCTACTTTTGAATGCATCGGAAAATTTCCATAATAAAAACATGCAATCTCATGAGTTCTTGATACTCAAGAAAAAAGACAAAAATGAAAACTGATAGGGAAAACAATTTTAAAAATACATTGGTGAACACCAAGATTAATGCATTCTTCCTCCTTCCTCTAGAAATTTAACAATTAAAGGGGGAAAACGAAGCATTTGCCTTGCCTTTTGTGTATGAGCTGAATTTTAGAGAACCCAAGTGGCCATACCTGAGGAGGGAAAGTTTTCTTCTTTACGAAAGCATCCCAGCTACTAAATCTGACAAGAACGTTCACATTGGAAAATCACCACTTGTAATCCTTAGTGCAATAAATGATTCCCACAAGGACCATCAGAAGTGGAAGTCTGATGACATAAGAGGGGTTGGGTTTTCTCCTCTGGATCCACGCATCAATCTTAGCATTGCTAAAAAGGTAAATTATGATATGCCACCTGCTATGAGGTACTCCGTACTATTACAGGGCATTGCCTTAGAAATACTCCCGCACAGGGGCGCCTGGGATAGCTCAGTGGATTAAAGCCTCTGCCTTCTGCTTGGGTCGTGATCCCAGAGTCCTGGGATCAAGTCCCGCATCGGGCTCCCTGCTCAGCGGGGAGCCTGCTCCCCCCTCTCTCTGCCTGCCTCTCTGCCTACTTGTGATCTCTGTCAAATAAATAAATAAAATCTTAAAAAAAAAAAAAAAGAAAAGAAATATTCCCGCACAGAGAGTTGACCTGGGCTCTAATGAAGTCTTGAATTGTAACAAGTTTGATACTGGGACAACCGACCCACTTTGGCAAATCAAAATGATTGAAAAGAAAAAAAAGGCAAGGGCGCCTGGCTGGTTCAGTCGGTGGAACACGGGACTCTTGATCTTGGGGTTTTGAGTTTGAGCCCCATGTTGGGTGTAGAGATTACTTAAAAATTAAATCTTCAAGGGGCGCCTGGGTGGCTCAGTGGGTTAAGCCTTTGCCTTCAGCTCAGGTCATGATCTCAGGGTCCTGGGATCGAGTCCCCCATTGGGCTCTCTGCTCGGCAAAGAGCCTGCTTCTTCCTCTCTCTCTCTCTGCCTACTTGTGATCTCTCTCTGCTAAATAAATAAATAAAATCTTAAAAAAAAAATTAAATCTTCAAAAAGAAAAAAGGCAGAGGGGGTGCGATAAGGGGAGTAGTTTAGCTTAAGATTTAAGAGACACAGTGGGCATCTTGTGTGGAAAAAGTAAAACTGTAGAATTATTTTTGAAGCATTTAAAAATTCTCTTAAGTATTTGATGACAAGGAAAAACTGTTAAATTTTTTAAGGTGTAATATGGTTATGCAAGGAAATGCCTGGGGTTTCCTTTAAAATACTTTGAAAAAAATAGGTTAAAAGTAAGGAGCTATAAAGCTAATATGACAGAATCTTGATTGATTGTTGAGTCTGATAAGGGATGTGTGGTGATTTCTTCTTTTATTCTACTTCTGCATATTTTGGGGAATTTTATATGATAGAGCGATGTTGATCACCATACCACAGGAAATAAAGTGGGTTGTTTTTAGCAGAAGCTTAAGAGGGAAACGTGAGAAACACAGAAAATCTCATTTCGACACACCAGGTTTATGTATTGCTTATTTATTCAACAATAATTAAAATACAGATCCAATAAGACCAATAGGCAGGTGAGGAAGATTTTTTTTTTTAAATGAAATTTCCTCGATTCAATCAAAGAGCTGGTAAATCAACGAAACAAAAGATACAGAAGGTAAAAGAAAGAGTTGGCCATCTTCTGCCCCAAGCTACCTCTGCCATGGTCTGGAGTCTTTGTAAATATTGGATAGGACAGTCTGCTAATATTTCTCATAAACCCTTGGCCATCCTGGATTCGCAAAGCCGACGAAACCAGGAATTTCACATGTCGGAAGTTTGAGGATGCACTTGGATAGCCGTGGAGAACTTGTGGGACAGGAAAATCACCCCGCTCAGCAACATCATGAAGGCGGCCAGACACGCCACCAGAAAGGCACTGCCGATCTCCTGAGTGTTTGGCTTGAAGGGAATCGACAGCGACGGGGGGAAGGAAATGCCGTGCTCGCTCATCACAGAGTGGTAATTCCAGACCACGGTGACGGCGATGCAGACGCCGGAGGCCAGGTTCAGGATTCCCGAAGCGACGAATGGGTTGAAGGTGGCGTTCTCCCGCAGAATTCCCAGGTACGCGTTCCTGAGAGCGAAGATGATGGAGGCTCGCCCCAGGAGGCCTAGGATGCTGGCGATCAGCAGGAGGTTTTGGGAGACACGAATATCAAGCGGGAGATTCGGGTCGCGGTAGCTGTACCGTTGACACAGGGTGACTCTGTTGTGGTCGCTGACGTGGTGGTACACGCAGACTTTCCACATGCCCACGCACACCAGGCCCGGGGGCATGAGGGCGTTGTTCTCTATGTACCACACTCTCCATTCCACGAGGCCCATGGACGTGGTGGTCAGGATCCAGCCCACCGTGGCCACCGCAAAGCCGGCCACCTGGCAGTTGGCGCTGTTGATGAGCAGCAGCATGGCCACTGCGCACCGCAGGGAGCTGTGGACAAACACGGGGTGAGAGGGGGCGAGCGGCCGCCTCGGGCTGGGACGCGCCCCGGCGGGCCCGGCACGAGACCGAGGGTGGGGACCCGAGACGTTCGCGCTCTGCGGGCGGGACACAGGGCGGGCCGGCTTCGGGAAGGGCCGGTGGCCCTTGTCAACGGAAGCCCGACAGGGCACCGGCTTTCAAACAGGCACTTCCACTTCTGGGCATTCGTCCCCAAATGAGACCGGCCACGAGCAGAAAGTGCTCATCACGGCACTGCGCCTACTGAAAAACGGGACACGTTCAGGCCCAGCGACTGAGCTCGGCTGAACCATGCTCGGTGCCGAGTCGGTGCCGTGTCGGTGCAACCGGGCTAGTACGTGCCGTGGCTCAGCGCGGCTGGCATCGCGCAAGGGGCCGTGCCCCGTGTTTGGCTATTTTCCAGCTCCAGCCCCGCAGGGATGCTCTGCTGCCTCTCACTGGGGGCCCCAGTCGGCCGCGGGGACGGGCCATCGGCTCGGTGTTTGGACACCGGGACTGGTCGCATGTTTGGGCCGTTGGGAGTAGCGCTGCTCTACGCATTTCCCGGCGGTGTTCCTGTGCGCGTGTGTTCGCGTGTCTCCTGGGTGGATGCCTCAGGCCGGGCCAGGGCCACGGAACAGACGGCAAGTCTACGCTCAACTCTTCAGAAAGCGCTACCTGCTACCCCGCTACCCGCTACCCGCCGGCCCCACCATTTTGCGTTCCCACCGGCATCGCGCGAACGTTCCATTTCCCCATCTCTGCTCCCGCAGGTGTTGGTTTCGTTTCTTGGATGACATCCGTTCTAATTGCCACGGAGACGTGATGTAACCAAAAGGAAGAAGGCCACAATGTACCAAGGACAGGCGGTAAGCTACAAAATGGGACATCTCGTCGTGGCTCTAAGAACTGGAAGTCTGTATGCTAAGTTAGTAAGAGACATTTTTAAGCGGGTTAGAGGGATTATGAGTTTTAAAATACATATATATATATATTATATTATCTTATAATATTTCAATATATTTATATATAATTATAATACATATTATATAAACAAACTATATGAATATATATTTTATAGTTATAATATATAGTGTATCATAAAATATATATTATAAAATATATATATTTATAGCACACAAATCTAAGTGTACAGCTTAATAAATTATTGATAACCACAAAGACACCTCTTGGTTTAAGATATGTAACATCACCACTTCCTTATCTGTCTTTACCGCTCTTTCACCTCTCAGCATGCACCCGTAAAGCATCTCAGTTCAATTCTGCCTGTTTTCCAAAACAGGGATCATGCAGTCGGCATGCTTTCACTTGACCCTGTTTACGACCTTGGATTGTGATTTTTTTAAATGATGTCTGGCTGTTCAAGCCTTTTAAGGCATTTCTGCCATGAGCATGATTTTTTAAAATAGAAACAATAACTAAGGCTTCACTGACATTATATCTGATACATAACTACACTGTAGGACATTATTGGTCATTCATTTGCCATAAGACTCAGCAGATTTAACAGTAGAAGAGTATTTCGTCGCAATGCGGGAAAACACCCGTGGTAGGTGAATTTTTTTTTTTTTTTAAGATTTTATTTATTTATTTGACAGAGAGAGATCACATGCAGGCAGAGAGAAAGGAGGAAGCAGGCCCCCTGCTGAGCAGAGAGCCTGATGCGGGGCTCGATCCCAGGACTTTGAGATCATGACCTGAGCCGAAGGCAGCGGCTTAACCCACTGAGCCACCCAGGTGCCCCACGTGGTAGGTGAATTTAAAACAGATAATAAAACTCCCAAGTTTGTAGTGTGATTTTATTTTTGCCCACCCTAAATAAGCAAAACAACATGCCTCTATTGGGATTACTAGTGATTTTTTTTTTCATTTTTTAAAAAGATTTATTAATTTGATAGTACAAGCAGGGGGAGCAGCCCAGGGACAGCGAGAAGCAGGCTCCCCACTGAGCAGGGAACCCAACGCGGGACTCGATTCCAAGACCCTGCGATCACGACTGGAGCCGAAGGCAGTCGCTTAACTGAGCCACCCAGGGGGCCCATTGTTTCGTGTTTCAAGGTAAGAGTCTATTACTTTCCCAAATGGGGAAAAACGGGGGCACAGGCCGTGACGCAAGCATAGTGATGAGTATGAGCGGGAGTGGAGGGCCGTGCATGGAGTTCATGGAGGGCTCCGGACCTCCCGTGGGGGCCTCCCACACTGGCATGTATTTATTTACCATTCACGTGTGGTTTGTGTGAAGCAAGAGGCGTGTACTGTGAGGAAAGCAGTTAGAAATATCTCGCTCAGTGAAAATGCATGTTGCAGAAGCAAGTGTATAGAAATGGCTCGGTTGGGGCGCCTGGGGGATGTGGTCGGTTATGTCCGACTCTTGGTTTTGGCTGGGGTCGTGACCTCAGGGTCGTGAGATCCAGCCCCGCGTCAGGCTCTGTGCTCAGCGCAGAGTTTGCTTGGATTCTCTCTCTCTCTCCCTCTGCCCCTGCTCTCCCCTCTCCGCCCCACCCTCCCGTGCTCACTCTCTCTAAATCAATGGCTCCATGTCAGTGAAAACTAGGGCGAACATCTAACACGTTTAAATATGTATAAACACAATATATACAAATAGGAAACATGCTTGCATATGAAGAGAGAATTCCTGGGAGCGGGAAATGTTTAAGAGTTGTGACCTCTGGGAAGGAGGACTGGGTAAGGGCCCTGGAGGTACAGCCTTCCCTCGGTGCCCAGGATCCTCTCTGCCACGGTCTCAATTTTCTGCCAGAAACACGTAATGCTCTTAAAAGGTAAATGATTAGGTAGTTAACCGAGAAGCAGGACAGAGGCAGGTCGCAACACCGCGGAGGGAGGTGAGTGTTGCTGGGCCCCGGGCTGAGCTGGACCTCAGGGGAGGAGGGAGAGGGAGAGGAGGGCATGGGAAGACTTCGTGGGGAGCAGCCCGGCCTCCCGAAGCACTTCAGAGCCCCGGGCTCTGTGCCACGTCGGCAGGTCCTAAACTTCTTGGTCTCAGGACCAAAAAGGTCTCTGCACTTTGCACTTGGAAGCAGGAGAGGCAGGTAGTTACTGGGTCAAACGTTCTGGAGACCTGTACCCTTAAAAATGGTTAAAATGGTCAATAATGTGATATATATTTTCCTGCGATAAGAAACAAACAAAAAAAAGGTATTGACCCCAAAGAGTTTTTGTTCCCACAGTTTGCATTCACCCATACTTACCGTATTAGGAATTAAAATGGAGAAATATAAGATTGCTTATTAATTTATGTAATAAATATTACATATTAACAAGGATTTTTATGAAAAGTGACTATATTTTCCAAACAAACAAAACTTAGAGGATATCGCTTACAGCAATCTACAAGTTGTGTGTAAATGATACACTAAATCCTATAGACGGAGGGAAAGAGGCATACATCAGCAGAAGCGCAGCTCAGGATAGAGATGGGGACAACCGAAACCACCACCTACCATAGAAGGGACAAAAGGAATTGTGGGGTTATCCGTACGATGGAACACTACCCACCTTGCACAAACAGTTATGATAGCATTTGTGGTGCTTGTCTTAAGTACTCAGTGGCACACGCCCTCCAGCTGGGCAGAAAACAGTGTCTCACTTACTCATAATTCACTTAGCAGGAGGCCGGGACCCAGGTGGTGAGGGGACTTGGTTGAGTGCGCCAGATGGGTCCCCAGAGGCCTCCTCCAGAAAACTCCTGCTCAAACCTGAGCTCATCTGTAGGATGGAGACCCAGCCCAGTGCTGATGGCCTGTTAAGTCAGAAACTCCTAACAGAACCCCTAGGCTCTCTGTAACCCTGCCAGGAGGCCAAGAGGAACATGATCACATTCTTGCTCTCATGTAAATGTTACGAAGCTCCATGACCTAATGGGAAAAGTGGACACACTGACCCGTTTGTCTTTGGCTCCGGGGGAGATCTGCTTCTCGCCATCAGTCTGGGGTTACTTACCTTCTGCGGATGCTTGCTATCCCCTCTGCCATCAGGCAGCCGATGCCTTCTCTCCTAAAGGCCACTTCCAACCCACCATCGGATGAGACCACTGGGACTTTGAAGGATGTTGTCACAACAATCTGGATCTCATCTCATCAAAGTCCTCTGGCCCCACTTATGAACCACTGACAAACCTACATCAGCACTTATCCAACATTCTAAAACCTTGGGAGAGAATTCTGGAATAATGGGGCCATTGTGACATGGGAGCTGAGTGGAAAGGACAGCCATTTTAGGGTTCGTCTACTGTTTGCTAAAAGGAAGGAGGACTCCCTAAGAGAATCATAAACTCCTAAGTTTATAACTCCTAAGAAGTTCCTCCTTACTTCCTGCTCCGCCCCATCCCCACCCCTGGTTCTTACAGATCTGCCTGTTCTGGGTAGCTCCCATAAACAAAGTCCTACCATACGCGGCCTGTGTGTCTGGCTTCTTCTGAACATCATGTTTTGGGGGCTCATCTACAGATGTGTGGGGACTCTGTTCCTTTTCATGGCCCAGTAATATTCCACTGTATAGCTACACTACCGTTTACTTAGCAGAAGGTGGGCACTCATGTGGTTTTCCTTTTTGGGCTGTTATGAAGGATTCTGCTGTGAACGGTAATGTCTAAGTGTGTGTATGGATATGGTTTCATTTCTCTTGGGTATGTACCTAGGAGCGGAACTGCTGGGTCACAGTCTAACTCTATGTCTACCATTTTGGGGGACCACCAAATTGCTTCCCTACATGGCCACACCATTTGCTAATCCCACCAGCAAGGTGGGAGGACTCTACTTTCCCCGCCTCCTTGTAAGGCTTGCTGTGGCTCGCCTATCTGGGTTTGACTGTGTATATGGAATCACCATGGGCACTCCGTGTAAAGGACCCTTAGGAACAAGAGGCACTTTAAGACTGAGACTCATTGTAGTTTTCTGGTTATTTTTTGGCCTCGGGAAGTTTAAAACACAGATATTCTTACCAGA